TTGTTTTAGTCAACAAAGTGTTTCCCAGAAAACTGTAGATTTATATCTGTTTTCTAAACACTCTAGTAGCCTACAAATGAGCTTAAATCTGACATTTGAGGTTAAAAGTTGTTAAGAAGTAACAGGTGCTCTTTTTTCAAGAAATGTGGAATAACGGGATATTTTATCATTATACATTAACACGCTGCTGCATCTAATAGGAGTATTTTCATGATGATAGTATAGATAGGATACATGCCAATAGTTTTAAAGTTTTAAGTTTTAAAGGAATTTGTGTAAATGATTGAAATTGGTGGGTCAGGTTAAAAGGGGGGGAGGGTGCTTAGAGGGTAAAAGTTTCAAAAGAACAAGCTGCCCTTTTTGTCAGAAAAGGCCCGCTCAGAATCACAATTTGCCCTACTGGTAATTTTTTTGATATCATTTTGAGTCAATTCAGGGGGTAAAAATGTCCTTTTTTTTCTGAAAAAGGAACCCTTTGAAATTGCTGCTATATGGGCGTGAGGGCAATCCAAATTTCCAAACATTTGAATCCCAAACTTCCAAACCCACACACGCCAGATTTGATAATAGACTAAATTTTAAGTAAATTTTGTAAACTGCATTTCGTGTTCAGCACAGAGCATACAGTACTAGATGTACTTAAGTTGCCTTACGAACAACCCAATCCCCTTCCACACATACATGTACACACATACAAACAAGCTGTAAGTTGAACTGTGGATTGCAGGTCAAAAAGCCTCCTTCATACTGTCGCCAACATCTCTTTAGAATTCATGGCAGACACTGCAAGATCCTATAATGGTGTATAAGCACCATCCGGGCAAACATGAGCAGTTAACTGACCTAATTAAGGCAACGAAAATGTTATCTAGTTGATGGCTTTACAGGCATATGATTGGTCAGAAGTATTGATTTTACATTTAGCTGTCTACTGGGGTGCCCGCCAAGGCCCTTGTTTTCATACTGTGGCCATTATAACCCTGTAGAACTTGCTAGGAGATCCATTTGTTTGTGTTTGGTTACATTAGGTTTTGCGTTTTGTCCATTGTTGCTGATTTGGGACAGTTAATTAGAGCAAAATTGCGTCCCAAGGCGTTACTTTTGTTCTGCTTTCAGACATTATATGTGAGCCATTTTAGCATGTTCTTGAGGACCTAATACTTATCGAAAGATCAGAAAGCACAGTCGTTTATCAGTATTTATCAGCAAAATGTACATGAAAATGAATTAAGTAATTTTTTTTCGAAAAAAATTTTTTAGGATACACAGATTAGGTTCAAATTGTAATTTTTCCCTCCTGCATACATGTATCCTGGAAGTTCTATCTAAATCTGTGAAAAGATTCTTGAAATGTCTTGTTCACTACCAAACAGAGACATGGGCTAGGTAACCTATTAAAACAATGTTGGTGATGAAAATGATTATTGTAAGTAATCTTGAAAATGTAAAATATTAGGAAAAAGGCACTTGAAAATCTCTTTTTATAATCAAATCCAGAAAGGATGTAGGAAGAAACCAGAAATATTTTTGTCAACAGGAACATAACTGGTTGATTTGAAGGAACAATTAAGACAAAAAACTGAGGATGTTACATTTCCTAGAATACGAAGAATTTTTAGTGGATTTAAGGCAATTCTACTACAAAAATGTTATTAAACTTCGACACGTGAAAGTTAAATGCTTGTGGGTGTTTCAAGGGCACTCCTTTCTTGCTGTAAAAAATCCTAGAATTGACTTTTTTGTTGAATTCAGCAATACAGTAGTACTATTATTTTAGAATATGTTCGTCCTTCTTTTTGAAAACATGTGAAACTCCCCACCTAGAAACATTTGACAAAATGACATTTCCTGCGTTAGCTCCTTTTGTGCTATTATACATACAGTTATTATGTGATTAATTTCACAATAGCATTTTGATTGATTTAAAAGCAAATCTAGTTTTCACCTACAGCAGAACCTGAGCAATTACATCCATATAAGTCACCCCATCTTTAAAATTTGACAAAAAAAAAGCATTTCCCGTCATTGCTTTTCATGAAATATATGGTCATTTGCAGATAACATTTAGAGTTGTCTGAGAACAAATCTAACTTTTAGCCAAGACGGAACTGGGAAAAAAGGTGGTAATACCTCTTTGGCACATTTAACATTTGACAAAAGGACATTTCCTGTTTTTGCTTTTCATGTAATATGTTCATTTAGAAATAGCATTTAGAGTTGTTAGAAAGCATATCTTATTTTTACCCAGAACCTGGCATAATGTGTAAATCTCCTTATGCCACTTTAAACAAATGACATTTGTCGAATGGACATTTCCTGTTTTTGCTTTTTATGTACAGACACAGATGTGTCTGTACATATTGCCATCACCTGCGTCTGTCGTCGCCGTCGCCGATGGCGATGGCGATGCCGATGGCGATGGCGATGCCGTCGCCGTGCACTTTCACTGTAAACACGATAAGTGGAACACAGCTTTATTTTTTGGTTTTATATTTACAGAGCTGATGAATATTCATAAAACGCAGGTCAAGTTCGAAAATCAGCATGATCGGGCCATTATTGTAGAAGTTATGCTGTTTTTTCCTTTTTTTCAGCATATGTGCAACTGTAAACACAATATAAGAAACCGATAGGCCAATTGCCATTAAACTCATAGGAGTGGTCAATCTTACTAAAATGCAGGTCGAGTTCGAAAATCAGCATAATCGGGCCATTATTTTAGAAGTTATGCTGTTTTTTCACATTTCCTCAGATTCAATTCTTAGGAATGTTAACAGTCTTATTATTTTACTAATAAGATACATTAAAGTGTTTGTTTGACATTTCCTGCATCTTTACAACATTGTTAGTTGATTATGTAAAAATGATGGTAAACTTGTTATCGTGTATTGTGTAATAAAGTGTCAAAAATGGAAATAAACTCATATCATTGCAGTTTGTCAGATTCTATCATTCACTGTGTTCAGAATCTCAGAATGGAGGAAATTGGACATTTAACACTATTCTATTGATATTTTTCCCATCTCATCAATTATCTTAGTTGATCATATAAAAATTGCAGTAAACTGTTTATTTTGTTTTCTGTTAAAAAAGTGTTAAAAATGGAAATAAACCCATGTCAGAACAGTGCTGTCTTGTTTCACATTTCCTCAGATTCAANTATCTCCAAAACTGGCAGAGATAGGTCCATAGTTACTATTGAACTTGAAAAGGAAGTCATATACTGGCAATCTAAATGTGACCTTAAAATTGACCTTTGACCTACTTTACACCATAAACTGAATTTTGCAAATTTTGCTTTCCTTTTATCTCCAAAACTGGCTGAGATAGGTCCGTAGTTACTATTGAACTTGAATAGGAAGTCATATACTGGCATTATAAATGTGACATTAAAATTGACCTTTGTCCTACTTTTCACCATAAACTGAACTTTGCAAATTTTGCTTCCCTTTTATCTCCAAAACTGGCAGAGATAGGTCCATAGTTACTATTGAACTTGAATAGAAAGTCATATACTGGCAATCTAAATGTGACCTTGAAATTGACCTTTGACCTACTTTTTATCATGAACTGAACTCTGCTAATTTCTTTCTCTTTTAACTTCAAACTTGACAGAGATAGGTCCATAGTTACTCTTGAACTTGAATAGGAAGTCATATACTGGCAATTTACTGTGACCTTGAAATTGACCCTTGACCTACCTTACGAAGAACTTAAATTTGATTGTACCATATATATTTTTTGCAATAGTTTAAAAATTCTTGTTGATTGCATTTTTACAGCTTGTCAAGCACAAAACTGGTGGCTGTGTCCCTTATTTTGTGTATGTGGGGGTCTATACGAATGCTCTTGCTCCAGCTGGTGGTACAATATTCGGAGGCGGTATCGCCTCTCTGATCCTCTAGTTATGTGATTAATTTCAGAATAGCATTTTGATTGGTTTGAAAACAAATCTAGTTTTCACCCAAGGCAGAACCTGGGCCATCACTTGTAAATCAGTCACCCCGCCTTTAAAATTTGACAAAAAAAAAAGTATTTCCCGTTTTTGCTTTTCATGAAATATGTGTTCATTTGCAAATAACATTTAGAGTTGTCTGAGAATAAATTTTAACTTTTAGCCAAGACGGAATCGAGCAAAAGGTGGTAATACTTCTTTGGCACTTTTAACATTTGACAAAAGGACATTTCCTGTTTTTTGCTTTTCATGTAATATGTTCATTTAGAAATAGCATTTAGAGTTGTTAGAAAGCAAATCTTATTTTTACCCAGAACCTGGCATAATGTGTAAATCTCCTTATGCCACTTTAAACAAATGACATTTGTCGAATGGACATTTCCTGTTTTTGCTTTTTATATAATATGTTCATTTTCAGATAGCATTTAGTTGTCTGAAATCAAATCTAGCTTTTACCCTAGGTAGATTTTGAGAAAATTTGTGATTTTTTTCACATTTAACATTTGACAGAAAGACATTTCCTGTTTTTGATTTTTATGTAATATGTTCATTTGCAGATAATGTTTCGAGTTGTTTGAAAAAAAATTTACCCAAGACAAAAAACATAGCAGAGGCATGTACACTATGTCATGTTGACATTACTCACCAGTTTCAAACATTGATTCATAATTATTTCATTCTCAACACTTCATTTAGATATTTGAATTCCAGTTACTTATAATATAAAGCATAAAGCTGAATTCAACTAGTAGATGCCATTGTATATTTTCTGCTTACCTTTGTTAATGAAAAAAAAATACTGATTTGGAATGTGATTGTATTAAGTTTGTCCAGCTTTTATGAATAATACAAAGCAATTCTAACAGTAATATTTGCATTTCAGTACATGCCACCCCTTCCATGTCTTTAACATAAATATTTCATAATTGTTTGCAGAGTACCTTAAATTTTATTTAAAATAATCATTTATTTATTTATTTTTATATTTTGTTTGACTAAGAGATTAAAAAACAACAGATTTTGAACAGATTGTCCTCCATTTTAGAATATGGCTCCCTCCTCATCTGAAGAACTCTGCCACAGAATACCTGGATTTCTCGGACATTGTCCTTTTAGAGGGGCTTCTCTTGGCCCTCATAGTGGATGACCAGAAGTTGACCGATTTTGGCAAATACACGGACTACTTTCCCAGAGATGTGGGACTGATGATCATTTGTCCTAGTGTATGTTTAAGTTAATGGATATTTGAAATAGTGCACTCACACCTTATATTGTTTATTAAGATAATATAATGGCTTGCTTTGAAATATAATGATTCTGCATGATTTTAATTTATAAAAAAAAAAACAATTATGCTCATAACAAGACTATTATATTTGTACATGGACTTAATTAAGATGTTTTTTCATAACATCAGGGTGCAGCTTCAGAACTTGTCAACTAGTCAGTGTCAGCACCTTTATGTTCTGGAAATTACTTTGGCAGACCCTCTTGCCATGTGTGGCCTCTTCCTTGTTTGAGCATTAATTCATACCTATTTTATAATGATTAACTTTTCAATGATCATAATTTATTTCTTAAATCCAGTAAAACATTTTGAAATAAATCAGTGGTAAAAATAGTGCAAAAAAAAAAAATGAAATCTGCATTTGGAATTTGTTTTGACTATATATTATTTATTTCTTTATATGAAACAAATAAATGATATTTAAAATTATTTATTTATTAATTAATTTTTTTCAGGCATCTGGTCGTGGTGACAAAGCCTTCTTCCAGACTGTGAAGGACTGTCCTACTCACAGACAAGATTATGGTAATTGCACACAAATTTCAAACTCCTGTTTTTTTTACTGCCCCCCCCCCTCTCCCACACACACACACACACATTTTTTTTTTCTCTTGAAGTCTTATTTCTACTAGCAACATAAAAAGTATTTTCTGTCATGAACTCTGTTTCTTTCTTTTTTTTTTCATTTTTATTTTGTTCATGTATTACTAAATTACTTATTCATGGAAGTGATATTGATCTATTTTGTTGGAAATGTAGTTAGCAAATACCTTAATTATGGCAAGTTGTACTGCTGAATAGCCAGAATCCTGTAGTGGCCAGTAACTAAACTAATGCCCAAGGTAACCCCTTTGTAACCCTCCCTTTTGAAGTGAATGTGTTAGAGAAGCAAAAGAACATCTTGCTGCAATTGGCAGTACTTGTAAAGAATTATAATCTAGCACAATTATTGAAGACTTTGAGCATAGGGAAGAAATAAGGAAATGAGATCTTACAGGACTTGAAGTTAAGGATGCACATGCTGGCATAGCATTTTTTTCCTTCAGATGGGGAAGGTAAACCTTAATATTTAGGTTGACTAAAGAAAATATTTATGACGGAACTTTCCCTGGTTTTTCCCCCAGATGAACATGACCAGCAAGGAGACCTTAGTGATGTGAAGTGTCACTGTGAGGAGATGAGGGAGGTAGCAATGGTACATCCGTCACAGAGCTCTAAGCTTTCTGCTAAGTTCATGTTGCTTAGGTAGGTGGCATTTTGAGGTATTTTATAGATTTTTTTTTTCTTTTGCTGTATGCTTTGTTTCTTTACTCCAACACACATAGGGATTGCAGTTGTTGGCAAAGATAATATTTATCATATACAAAGCATGATCAATGCAATTTTTTATATTTTTTTACTGTTTTTTTTCTCTGTTTTTTTATATTGGTAAGGTATCTGGTAGCCCCTGTATATCCTTGTAACAATTCTGTTTTCAGATATGCTTGGCATATGCGTATCATCATACCCAGCGGCTGTTTTGACCCGGAGATGGATGAAGACATGTTGACCTTTGGCTGGTATGTTGACCTTCCCATAAGAGAGGAAGCCATGAAGGCATCAGGAGATGAGATGAGACTGGAAAGTATGTCTGACCTTGACCATTTTTTTTTTTTTTTGTTTGTTTGTTTTGGAGAGTTTTAAAGCATGGTTTAGTTGTCATGGTTATGATGCAGTTATCAAAATTTCATTCAGTAAAATAGTTTAATTTTTTCATATAAAAAAGAGAGATATTGTTCAAAAAGGAATACAATTAAGGCATAATTACATGTATATATATATATATATATATGCCTTGCACCTGACCTTGATTTAAATGAACTTTTACTTTGTATTTCATGCTCTGATCTTGAGCTGTATGTCAGTAGAATGGCAGTTTTGTGCAATTTTCAGTCAGATGTGATTCAGTTTGAACAGAGATCTAATCCTGACTTTGATTCTTACAATAGTTTTTATGCATTGACCCTGACCTATATTTCAGTGGACATGAAGTTGTCTTTGTATTTTGTCTTAATTAAACAGACATTTTTACCGTGCCAAATAGAACGGATTTCTCCAGTCTGTTGTTGTCTGTCTCTAAAATATAAAACGTGTACAAACCTATAACCTTGACATTTGACCTTGACCTATATTTCAGTGGAGAAGCACCCGTTTTCTGCAGACCTCTGCTGCATGTTGTCCAACTTAAATGGCAATCCGTACCCTATCTTGAATGGAGTGGACTTCTCTGGGCTGTCTCCATGTGTTCAGTTACTCTGCTCAGTGCCAGGTAGATGTAGTCACTATTTTTATTAGGGCGTATTCCCATAGATTTTAGATCGATCTATCCCCGTGGGGAGTCTCACTAGATTACTGTCAGATAATCCGGCTGAAATGACCGTCCCGCCTACTACAAGCTGTAAGTGGGTAATTAACTTTCGTGCCCGTGAGGCTGACAGCTATTTAGCGTGAACCCCCAGGGAGTTAGGTTGATCTAGTTTGGATCGATCTAATCTCTGGGAATGGGGTCTTAGCCTATGAATGCATGAAGGGGATGAATTCCCAAACTGAATACATCTGAGGGCTCAGTAAATTCACGCTAGGACATATTTTATGGATACATTTGAGATGAAAAAAGCAAGCATAGTTACACTATACACATATTGTCTTGAGTGTATTAGCCCTTTTTTAACATACAACATTTTAAGGTTTTGGGAATTTACCCCCCCCCCCCCCCCCCCCTTGTTAAGAAAAAGCATATGCCAATAGTAAAAAAATCATAAGATATATATATATATATACAGTTTGTTGGAATCAATGACATAGTATATGAAAAAACCTTAAGTATATGAAAAAACCTTAGCTGCATTAAGAATGTAAATAATAGATAGCGTATTGGTATTATCTCATAAAAAAATAAAAGCTTCAATCTTGAACATTGATTAATCAAATTGCATGGAAATTGATAGTGTATATGTATTTTTCTAGGGCAGTACACTGATGCTACAGCAAGGAGACTAGGCATATTGAAACTTGGTGCAGCCATTAAGGCTAACATTCAGGCTGATGACAGTGTCATTGATAATGAGGTAATTACAGAGATTGGCAGGGGGAGAAATGGTTTGCTTTTGTCTCCACTGCTTTATTGAATTTTTAAATTTTATTTTTATTGCATTTATTTATTTATTTATTTATTTATTTATTTATTTATTATGGTTGTTGTTAATATTTTGGGGGGAGGTAGATAGAGATATTCTAATGCAATGGTGAGGCAATTTGTACCTGACCCCCCCCACCCCCACCCCCACCAGCATCCATTGCTTAATTTGGACTAATTTTCATGGCTGTTGCCTTCTCAGGTTCTCTACTATACCAACAGCATAGGATTTCTGGAGGTGGACAGTTTGAGTGACCTCTGCAAGTACACAAACACTAAGAAGGAAAATTTCAAGGTGTGTACAGGGCAATATTGTATGTGTTAAGTTGAGATTGAAACAGCTCATTTTTATAAAACCTGAAATTTCAACTGTTAAACTTTAAAAAAATTGTCAGGTGACTTTACCTGGCAGGCCTCCCTACATGTCGTCATGCCCGGTCGAGATTTAATGACTGTGCCCTTGCAGGGATGACTCGTGGGGAGGCATGAAAGAGGATTAAGACCATTACAGGATTAAGCGGTCTTCCTTTCATGTAGGTCTGCCATGTTTAGGCCGTGGACCAGCTTGCACTCAGCTCTTCTCATTCTGAATGGCCTCTAAGGGTGTATTCCCAGAGATTTAGATAGATCCAGAGATTAAGATTTAGATCGACCTAACTCCCTGGGGGTTCACGCTAAATTGCAGTCACCATAGTTAATTACCCCCTTATAGCTTTTACTGGCGGGACAGACGCTTAAGCCGGCTAAGCTGACAGTAATCTAGTGAGACTCCCCACAGGGATAGATCGATCTAAAATCTATGGAAATGGGGTCTAAAACATCTCAGTCCTTTGAGTTAACCATTCTCAAGTTTTTACTATCAAGCATATGTACATATATTTATATTCATTTCAACTGCTGAGCATTTATATATATTTCTTTTAACATATTATTTTATGCATAATCATTTAAATTGGATTCTCTAACATAAGCATTTTAATTTGTTATCTGTAAAATTATTTTTAACGAACACATAGTGAACTTTATAGATAATTAAAATTTTACTCTCCAGATAGCATACCCGTCCAATGCATATGTTGATGGCATTCCCAGTGCATTTAATGAGAAACCATATTATCACTTTGCAGACAGGTAAGATCAAAAAAAAGGGGGGGGGGGATGAGAAAGTGGGGGAGGGGGTAGTTAGAGAGAGGGAGAGAGAAAGAATAGAATGCAGAAAAGCCGCTTTTCTCTTGCATGGATTACATCCTTATACTGTTATACTTATATATACATGGGGTGTTGATCGTTTTAGTTAAATTTAGAGTACCACCAATGTTTTTATCCCTGTCTTTATTGCTACAGCAGTTAAATGATGAACAAGGAGAGGTCAATTTGAAATGCATTGTAGAAAGTCGTATATTTTCAGGTTCGGGCTCTCAAGATGCTATCTCCATGACACTGTTCCCAGCCCTTTCTCCCGTAGCAAGGTAACAGAAGATTGTCTCCAAAAATTAAGACTGGGTTTCCCATACCTAGATCGATCTAACAGGATTGATCCATCTCCGAGGGGTTTCTTGCTTAAGTGGCTTAGATGTCTGGCATGCCTACTGAGGCTGCTAAATGATAATTAATCATCCCAGCAGCATCAGTAGGTGTGACAGACATCTAAGCTGCTTAAGATGATTCCAATCTAGCGAGAATCCCCTTGGAGATAGATTGATCCACAGTTAGTACCATAAGGTCTGGCAATGGTCCCTAAGTACTCCTGTCACATTTAAATATGTTAATATTGTGTTAATAGTTATGTTTAACAGGTTAATACGCCTCTTGTTTCAAATGTACTTGTATAATCACCAGCTTTTCTGTATTCTGCTCAATGCCAAGAGGAGGCATGTTAACCTGTTAATCTGATTGCATTTAGCAAGAATCCCTGCAGAGTTGGATCAATCTAAGTAGACCACTGATGCCTATGGGAATGAGCCCTAAACTTGGACAGCTTTATTTAGCTAGAATTAAACAAAATTTTTTGGACATTTGTTTCTTATTAAATGAGCAATGATTTTTAAGGTGATAAGAATCCCATACAGACATGCTTTTGTGTTTTACCTGTTTTGGAAAACTGCTTTTGGAAGAAATTGTCATCAATTTCAGTTTATTGTCTGCCGAGGTAAACAAGATGGCCGCCCAGCTTCCTCTCCCATTAACCTGCTGTACCTTGGCAGTCATAGATTGGCCGCCAAAAGTCTCGGCACAGTGTCCCATGGCGGCATTGTGATAAAACTTGAATCTTATGATATGGGTTTACTGGCGTGTTCCTGGACAACAGAAGAAGGAGGTGGGCTGACGATCAAAGTAGAGAAAAAGTTTTATCTAAGTTAACGCTGGACTTGAGACAGGGGCAGATCCAGATATTTATTGACAGTCTTCCAAATTATCTTTGTTCATCCATTCTCCATTTTTGACCATCTTCCAACAGAAAAAAATCAATGCCCATCAATTTAAACTTGAAAAATTCTGACCATCTTCTGGAAGACCCAGAAAGTGGCTTCCATCTGCCCCTGATTGATTATTTATTTGCTTTTTCTATGAATTTTCCAGTATGTCACGTCCCAGACATGTCAACATTGGGAATTCCAGTGGATGTAAACAAGCTACACAAGTACGCAGCAGACGACATTCCCTATATCCCATCAGCTTACAACCATCTCAAAGTACACCGGGCAGTAGGGAAGCTTGTCAGGGCTGTACCAAAGAAGTCTTTTGGATTTCTTAGTAAATTACTACCGACCGATCCTCTTTATGACAGCATGTAAGTTTTATTTATTTATTTTTTTTTTACGCCAACACAAATGAATTCTCAAAAGCCAAAAAAAAAGTGCTGGCAAGGAGTGGATTAGATGCCAGAAGTAGCATACGTACATGTATATTCACTAACTTAAAGTGCTCATGCAAATTTGCAGCATTTTGCTCATGGCAAATTTGAAGTTAGTTTGCTGCAAACTTTTCACTTTGCTGACAGATATACACAGCATGTTGCATGAGAGCACCATGTACACATATTTTTCATTATCTTGGCCTGCATCTTATTTCAGAGAGCCAGAGAAATTGAAACTCCCTGAGAAAGAATTATTCATACATCTCGACACCATTAAAGATTCTGGATTTTCCAATCAGTTGGTGGCAGGCAGCATATTTGATGTGTTTTATGCCAAACTAAAGACACATACCAACAAAAGGGAGAGTAATCCTAGAGCCTTTTATGTGGTGAATATTATTAGGTAAGTACAACATATATTTACCCTTTTGGTGCTTGTCCTTTAGGAAATTGGTCCAAAACCCTACAGGATCCTTTTGGGCATATTTCCTAGATAGAAATTCCATAAGCTGTCCCATTAAGTCCCAGAGAGTCCTCTAGAATTCTTATAGAGTTCTATAGTCTTTTTGGATTCCTATAGAGTCCCACAGAGTCCTATAGGAGGACCTGTTGGGAATTTCCATAAGGGTACATGTAGCTCTTTTAGCAATGCAATGGTATAGACATTCTGATAACAGATATAAGTTCCCAGTCACCTTTTTTTATTATTTTATTTTTATTTATTTATTTTATTTTATTTTATTTCATTTTATTTATTTATTTATTTTTGTGAAATAACTTTGTATTCAGAACTTTAAAAAATGTTTTCAGAGAAGGTGATGCAAAGAAAGAAAAACCCAGCCCCTTGTTTGAGGAAAACACAGGAAGAATGCTGGCGGAAATGTTTGGATCAGGTATATACACAAATAATAAGTGTAAATGTGATGAGAAATTCCAAAGAGATAAATTTAGTATACATTTATTTGTTTGTTCTATAAAGTAGTGCTATCAGATTTGAAAATCTTCTGATATGATTTTCTACTATTTTAGACAGGCAACTTGTGAAGAATTAACTCTTAATTGTTCGAGCAAATTTCTTTTATAAAACTTTTAAAAAGTTTTTTTTTTTTTTACAGATGATTGCACCCCACCAGATGGCAGTTCAGCCAAGAAAATCTCCATCCAGAGACATCTCACATTAGACCCAGAGAAGTCATTTGAAGAAAACATGGTTGTGCTTGGTGTGTACAAAATAATTGCTGTACAGACTACAGAGTCTCTTTGTAATCCTAACTTATGCTCAGATAGTGCCCCCTCCTCCCCCCCACCCCCCCACTCCCCCTCCCCTTTCAATTTACTTTTTTCTTATACTTTTGTCCAAATTTTGTTTGGAAATCAATGCAGTTGTTCTCTTTAGAGAATTTTGTGGCAAGGCACATGTATAGTAATTTTAGTTTCTGTTGGATAGATTTTCAAAATCATGTCAATTAAGGGAGATGTTCAGACATACTTTTTGGCAAGTTCTCTATTTCATGTCATATAGAGACTTTCACCATTGTTTACAGCAGCAGGTATTTTTATTTTTAGGTTTAAACAGTGATGAAGAGATAGACGAGTATATGAGAACCAATTGGTTCAGTGGTGCCCTTGCTGTCAAAAGAGGAAAAAGGTAAAATGTACCACAAATTTATTATTATTATTAATTTATTATCATTATTATTTTAAAATTTTGAACTTCATCTTCAGTATAGGTCTTTATTATTCAGTTCAGTTTTATGTGACTATGCATTTTTTGCATGTTAAAACTTTAAAGTCTAAAAACAATTGTGTTTCTGTGTATTGGTCATGTAGTAATGAGCCACCGACTTAGACCCCATTCCCAGAGATTAGATCAATCCAAACTAGATCGACCTAACTCCTTGGGGGTTCACACTAAATAGCTGTCAGCCGAGCGGGCACGAAAGTTAATTACCCCCTTACAGCTTGTAGTAGGCGGGAAGGACATTTAAGCCGGAATATCTGACAGTAATCTAGTGAGACTCCCCACGGGGATAGATCAATCTAAAATCTATGGGAATACGCCCTTAGACTAAAGCTTGTTGATCATTTTAAAAATTATTTATTTTTATTCTATATAATCTTTTATTCTTTAGGCAGCAGAAGATGTGCTCTATAGAACCCGACCCATGCCTGTCGCTAAACAGATTCATGGAGCGTTACATCACTTGGCGGTATGGGAAAAACTGGCATCCGTACGCATTTGGGCCATGTAGCTATCACAATGTGCTGCGCTCCTTCAGATGTGTGGTTTAGGATGGTAGATGTGTCAGTAACTGAATGATTTGATTAGCCTAAGCAACCAAGAAACCTACTGCACTCATATAAACATATGGTATTGCAAATGGTAGATGTAATTAACTGATTAGTTTGTTTAAACTTAACAACATTTAAGCAAAGGACCTGCTGCGCTCATCCAAACATGGTAACGAGGATGGTCAATGTGAATAGTCGGGTGCTCATCATTTGCAAGTTATCGGTCAAGGTGCCTGAAACCTGTTCACCTCCTACAAGCGTATAAACAGAATGGCTAATGTTATTGGCACAAAAACAGCTACAAAGATAATGGCTCATTTCAGAGAACTGATTAAGTGCTAGATTAAATTGAAAAGATTTTGCTCTTATATTTCTGGTTATTGGTTTATAAATATTTGTGTGCTCTTGGATTGAGATTGCACTGTTGAGCAGCACTTAATTTTTTTTGTTTTGTTTTTCTTACAATGGGAAATTGTTATGTGTATGTTCAGTGTACAGGTGTGTTATAAGAAAGTATTTTTCATATCCTTTATTTCTCAAGACTCTGTTTCTCAAAAGTCATATTTCGGGCTGAAATCTTAGTCTATATTTTGTAATTTAAGTTGCATTCCACAAAGAATCTCAAAGGTTGCTCACTGTACTTGTTCTAGTCAACAAAATGTAACAGGTACTATGTGTGTAGATAAGTTTGTTAGTTTTTTTCATTGGGTTTTATGGTATTTGGAAGCTGTTCAAGAGAAAGCACCTAGTAAACTGGATTGTGATTGCCAATTTTTTTTTTTTTTTTTAGATTATCCTTCATTTCTGAAGGCATTATGCTTTCTTTGAGGAAATGGAATCATTATTCCCTGCTCAAAAACTTAATTTCTAATGCCAAAGAATATTGGAAAGAAATTTTCTCAGATTAAACAAAGTTAAGAAAAATTATAGTCAAAAAAATTTATTTTTTAAAATTTATTTGTATGTTGAAGGTTATTTTGGAGTTTGAAAAACTGTAAATTGATGGTCAATAAAGACTAGAAAATTGTTAAGAATGCCTTGAAATTATCATTTTGTATTATTTCTCCAGAATCCTGTATCTCTTCACTTCTCAAATTCAGTACATTTCGGCCATTTTCTTGTTAAGAAATTCCTATTTTTTTTAATACTATGTGTAGCAGTTGTGTCTTATCTTTTCTGATCCCTTTTATGACATTTCAGTTTTCCTCAAAATACATAATTAATTTCTCTTTCATATACAGTGAAATTAGTCATACATGGTCTCCTTTATCAAACCACATAAAATTAATTTCATAATGCTTAGAAAATTTTATAATATTGTGAATGCACTTTCTTGCACATAATCAAATTAGAAATATTTGATAAAAATATATTTATTTACAAATTACCAAGAATACTGATTACATAAGTCAAGATTTACAGGGACATTCAGATATTTGCTCTTGAATTCAAGATTGGACAATTTAGAAAATCTATGCCTTGGAAATCGACGTCAGAAGCATTTGGGGTTATGAAAGAAATAACATGCAGCTTCAGGTGGAGCCACTTTCCCTTCAGTCCTCACCCCCATCCTTCTTCTGTCCATAGGATAATTACACTGGGGCATGTGGAGCTGTAGAAGACTTGGGAGGGTTTGTGAAACTGAAAATGCTGTTCACACTCGGTATTTAGCAACTGACATGACAAAAAGATTAAACTTGTTTTATACAAGAAAAGGAAAAAAGTCTCCTCCTTTTGGGTGCACCTGCATCACCTTAAAATAACCTTTTCCTCCCATAACAATGGAATAATGGAATGGTTCCCCCTCCCTTCCCCATCTCTCTGGAGAGGTGGGGTGGGATAACATTCATATGTTTGAAATACATGCTATTGCTGTTTGACTCACTAGAATCTTTTTCTTTTCTTGAAACCCTATTACATCCCTTGCAACAAACTTTTTTTCACAATGATTTGTAATACTGAAACAACCACGCAGCATATAGCATTGTCTAAAGGGTTCATTGTTTACTTCTTCTTTTTCTTTCCAGACTTTTTGCCTTTCTTTCCCTTCTTCTTTTTCTTACTGTAAGGACCAAGACCTCGTCGAACCATAACACCTCGCCACCATGCTTGTAGCTAAAGATAAAAAGATGTTAATTTTTGTTAATTTTTTGTTTAAAAAAATCTGAAAAGAAAAACACACAGTATGAAAGAATCAACATTAATTTTATAACCTTTATATAAATTTCTGCCATAATTAAGAAATTTCAGAAATGAAAAAAAAAAATTATTTGGATCTCTAAGAGTATGAAAAAATTTGATCTCAACTTTATTTTTCCACATTTACTGCAGTTTTCACATCAAGAGGCTTACCTTTGTGGCATTCTTGAGTTCAATTTCCTCTTGTTGAGCCTTCCTTCTGGCTTTTTCCTTGTCTATCCTGTCCTCTACAACTACCTGTTCATACTCTTCATATCTGAAATTTAACAAAATTTTTAATACCAAATTTAAGCCAGGCGTCCTTTCTATTAACCAGAAATAAGAGGAGGAGAAAGGGGGGGGGGGGGGGTAGAGGCGGGGCTGACCTCCCCCCCTTCAACTTCCTCAACAAAATGGACCATTCAGCTACACTTTCCATAATACTAATATCTCCTTAATTTTTGGATATGTGACATTTTAATATATCTATATAATGGTAACCATAACAAAAAAAGAGCAACGTTTTACAAACTTTTTCTACAATTGCCTTAACTTCATTAACTTACAATTTCTTCAGCTCTGCTATTCTAGCCAGATCTTTCTTCTCAGCATCTTCCAACACCTTCAGTTTGATCTGCATGTCGTCCACGTCTTTCTCGTACTTCTCCATCCAGTATTCCACCTTCTGGCTCAGGATCTTCTGGTGGGTCTGTAGGAAGGACTCCACCTCTGCATTCACCCGCGTCTCCTCATCAATTTTGTTTCTCAAGCTCTGGATACCAAGAAAGGAAGAAACGTTTGGATAATTTCTACCGAATTTAGTGTTTTGTGTAACTGATTTGGTGACTGGGCCACCAGCATAAAGAAACTAATCTGTCAAGTCACCCCCCTCCTTTTCTCTCTCTCTCTCTCTCCCTCTCTCTCTCACACACACACACTCTAAATAACTTGCCCAGTCACTAACCCTCTCTCCATTTCTCACATATCAAGAAACCCACTTTAGTTTGTCTTTCATCTCTTTCTCAGCCATGGTACATCTCTTCAGGGTCTGAACCACCAGTCATCTCCCCCCATCCCCCTGCCTACCCTTTCTCAAACACACCAACTTGTCCAGTCACTCACCTCTACTTCTCTCTCCTTTCTCTCTCTCTCTCTCTCTCTAATACACACACACACACACACACACACGCACACACACACACACACACACACACACAAACCCACCTCTAGCTCGTCCTTCATCCCTTTCTCAGCCATGGTGCATCTCTTCAGGGTCTGTGCCACGGAGACCTGGGCACACTTCTGGATGTACTTCCCTTCCATGTTGGTTTTGGCCTTCATCTCCTGAAGCTGATCCTTGAGATGGGCGATCATCTCATTGCGGTGTTGAATCTCTACTTCTTTTTCCTTCTTCACATCAACGAGTTGTTTTTGAAGGGTTTTCAGTTTACGCCGGCCTTCCTCTTCCCTGAATAAAGAGAAGAAATTTAATTTTTTTTAAATTTTGTAAAAACAAATCTATCTTCTTCCAGAAGTATTTTTCAAGTCCCTAAAATATTTCACCATAGTGTGGAAAAACACTTCCACAGAAAACAATAGAAGATGGTAACTAGAGGGGTACACAGAGAGTGTAGAGCTTCGTCAAACCAGCTTAATTCTTATCATTAGTTAATTTATTCTGGATCAACACTAATATATATATATATATATATATATATATATATATATATATATATATATATATATATATATATATAATTCTAAGTTAGTCCATTTCTTACCTATCCTTAACATTTTATAAAAATCTGTCCATAGGTTTATCAGTTATCTAACAAGTCAACAAAGGCAAAAACAACCTATACCTCAAATAACAGGTTTTACTTACTTTAATATCGTATCCTGAAGCCCTGTCTTCCTGTTTCGCTCCTCCCTCACTGCGGACACCAATGACTCGTAAGTCCCCCTGTGTTCAATTTCTGCCAAGGTGTTGCACACCACCCTCTCGAGGAAGGCGCGGTCCTCTTGGATCTTCGTTATGTTGTCCGAAGTGAGTGGGTTCTGCTTCAGACTCCGTCCAAAGACGTGGGTGCTGTTTTTGAGGTCACCTCCAGTTGCCTGGATGTCACGATCTGTGTCCATCATTCTAGAGATGAGGAGTGTTTGTCACATTATACAGTGATTTCATGGTATCATGGTAAATTTTTTACAACATCGCCTCTCTTCATTGCCTAATATAATGGTCTCAGAAAAGTATTTTATAACTTGTTTGTTTCACATAAATATGTCAGAAAAGTATTTTTCATTGTTTGTTTAGCATAAATATTAAAGTACATTCAAGGTTTAATTGTGCACCAATTAAAACATGTTTTCATATTATTTCCTGAATATTATAACTCAGGGTAGAGGGGAACATTTTTTTTTTTTTTTTTTTTTTTTTGTCACAAAATAAAATTTGAAAATCCCAGACATCAAATCAATCAGAAAGCTACCAAATGTGAACCTCTTCCTCCCACTCACTTTTGTAAATTGCTCTTGGTCCTGACATCCCCCTGCCTCAGATCTTGTTTCTTTGACATAAGACTCTCATACTTGCTCTCCAGCTGTCTCTGACCCTCAACTAACTGGCCTATTTCTTCTTGAACAAACTAAAAGAAAAAATTGGTAATATATTTTTACATACTCACACATCATCATTTGTTAGAAGTCTATGTTTTGATTTTACCACTTAAAATAAAATTTGCTGTTACTTAAATGATTTTAAAAGGCTTAATGGAATCCCAGCATGAAAAAATATTAACAAACATCATGATGTTAATTTTTATAAATGTCTGTCTCAAGAACCTCACCCTGCCAAAAAAAAAGGAATATGTTCTTTATTATTATTATTATTATTATTATTATTAATATTATAAACTGAACATTATTCAATAATTTTAATTAAAATCCCTACCTCGTCAGCGTCTGGCCTGTTCTCATAGGTCCCAGGCATAATTTTGCCCAAAATGGCCAGCTGATCAGCGCAGTCCTCCAACACTGTGGAGACATGAATGGCATCCACTCCTGTCAACATCGTGCTGCTATCACTGTAACATACAAGCAAAATGTCATTCTTATAAATAATTTAATGAAAAAAAAAAAGATTATTTTTCTAGAAACATTCTCACATCTAGACTCTGAAACAGGAGTGACGTTTGAGTAAGTTAACGATATGTATATCAGTAGATTTGAATGGGACATGCTACTGAAAATTAGAACAATATGATTCTAACATAATCAAAATATATGCCCAATCTTTTATCCATGATACATCGACCCAACGTTCATTGACCTTATTAATGACTTGGGATTTTGTGCTCAGCACATGACATATTTACAAATAATTTCGAATACAAAATCGTCACTTTATATATATACTACTTCACCTTTCCATTTTCGATACTTAAACAATATTTCAGTTTATACATACCTTTAAAAACTACGAAAGAAAGGGAGACATTTTATGTCGGCAACTTCTTCCAGCAATGAAGTTGTTTACTGTGGTAACCACAGCTACTGCGCAGCAAAGTGCGCATCACCCTGGTCGATACGATCCGGAAAGATAGGCTGAACAAAATGCTCTTACATTAAAATGTCAACATTTGCCAAAATTTGAAAGTGTGTAAGAATAATATAATCTTATCCTTCGATATTTTAGATCGTATAATAAGTTGGATATAATTTTCAATGTAACATCTACTTTTGAAACAATTTGGTTTGTCTTGAACGGAAAGAGTATTTATTATCCCACAATTCCCTGCTCGCCCTTTTCCGGCCATCTTGGAAAGGTACTCGTGAAATAAGTTCGACAACCACGAAAATAAACCTAAATTATTGACTTATTAAGCCCTGTTCATAAAAAATAAAAGTTGATTAAAATAAAGTGGTATGTTGTTATTGTTAAATGTTAGTGTGGGCTATTGATGTGGAGGGCTGTTTAAGATAAACTTGGATTCGCCGTAAGGTGTTTCTGTGGAGTGGTTGTATTCGTGTGGTAAATTAGGGCTCACGACTCTGTTTTTATTTCAGTCGCTGATCATGGCTGACCAAGAAGCCAAGCAAAATCCTCCTAAGAAATCTGGAAGGTAAGCCCATGCATCATTTTGTGGGTCAATGTTCCTTTGTCTTTTTAAATCTGTTGTCGCGGCCACATTCTTTGATGCCACAACAGCTCTGTTATCAGTTGTAGATGCTAAACGACGATGGTGTGTTTTACCATTGTGTACTTTATCATACGTTTATGGCTGTCAAAAATTCTAAAATTTGTCTCACAATTTCTTGCAGTAAAGAAAGGGGCAATGGCTAGTTAGCACCAGCATTTGTTCACATTGAAATTATTAGCATGAATATGAAAGTTCACATTTCTCTTTAAACTTAAATAAATGAAAAGGTAAATGAAAAAAAAATAATAAAAGAAAGAAAATGGGTAAATGAACTTATTTTTTATTTCAGAAATTTTGAAGAAACTTTTTTAAGTTTAGTTAAAATACATTTACAGAATTTGTTGAAACTGTAGTGCCAGATGCAGGTAGAACCGGCCAGGTAGCTCAGTAGGTAAGAGCACTCGCCCTGTAAGCAAGGGGTCCCGGGTTCGATTCCTGGTCTGGTCGGTGATTTTTCTGCACTCACCCCAAATCGCTACAAAACACAGTGGGCCTTACGTATAAGTTAACACTTGAGACTTTTATATATATATATATACATATATATATATATATATATATATCACTTATTCAA